TTATTATTATTATTATTATTATTATTATTATTATAACGACATAAGAAAAAAACTGATCTTTTCCTCATGTTTTTCGACATGAGCGGTTATGTCGTTATGCCATGTGGTCATGTCTCTAGTGTGAACCAGCTATCCCTCACAGCAAGTTGCCAGAAATCGCTTCTCCTAGACGTATTTTTTTTTTTTGCTTTACTCTTAGCCTCTAACCCGTCTATTTCCTCATTTATTTGGAAAACTAAGATATTTCATTAATCATTTGTAAGAGCTGGATTTGTTCAATTTAAGAATATGGCTTCTGATTTATATAACGCCACTACGTGCTTTGCGAATTACTTCGCAAAGACTTTGGAGAGACTAATGACGTAATTGTAGTCGAAGATGACTGGTCTTCACATTGGAAATGACGGACTGAAGGAATATCACTCATATGAGGTCCCCAAAACGGCTAAAAAACCACAATACCCTTTAGGGCTGCAGTCGCTGCACATAACTATACAGCCCACATAAGGTAATACTCCCCCCCCCCCCTGGGATTAACATGTACCGAATAGCGAGTAGCAACGTTGGGTTCACACATGTTAGCTCAACTCTTCAGTGAACCGCGTCTGAGCGACGTTATGGGAACTTACAGCTTAATTATTTGTTCTCTTTTTCTTTTTAATTAAGAGCAAAGTCTTAACGTCACTGTAAACAACGTACATCCTGTGACAATAAAGGTTTACTGGAACCCAGTNTGATTTATATAACGCCACTACGTGCTTTGCGAATTACTTCTCAGAGACTTTGGAGAGACTAATGACGTAATCGTAGCCGAAGATGACTGATCTTCACATTGGAAATGAGGGACTGAAGGAACATCACTCATATGAGGTCCCCAAAACGGCTAAAAAACCACCATACTCTTTAGGGCTGCAGTCGCTGCACATAACTATATAGCCCACATAAGGAAATACCCCCCCTGGGCTTAACATGTACCGAATAGCGAGTACCAACGTTAGGTTCGCACATGTTAGCTCGACTCTTCAGTGAACCGTGTCTGAGCGACGTTATGGAAACTTACAGCTTAATTATTTGTTCTCTTTTTCTTTTTAATTAAGAGCAAAGTCTTAACGTCACTGTAAACAACGTACATCCTGTGGCAATAAAGGTTTACTGGAACCCAGTCTCACTAGAACTTAAAGGTTACAGCGTGAAGTACTGGACCGAGAAAGAAGGCCAGGACTCCGCAGCGAAGATCAACGTCCCCAAGACAACGCACAGTCTGTTGATTGAAAGGTTAAAATATTTTACAGTTTATGTGGTGCAAGTGACAGCTCTTGTCACCGGTGAAGTGATCAGAGGTCAAGCAAAGATATCCACGGAAGAGGGAGGTATGATAATAACACAGCCTTGCTGCTTGAAATTCAGAGTGTATATGAAACATTTAAAAAGTCACTGAAGAAGCCCAGGAATTTTTAAAATATATATCAGGGAAATAGTGACCGATGAAAGTAAATTAAAGATTAAGAAGCCAATGAAGTCCCAGTTCAGTTTAATATTCAGACTAACTAAATTTCACCCCCAAGTTTTCTTTACACTCAGCGTCCAATAATTCTCTATTTTTATGCAGCTCACAGAATATTTTGAAATTCAGTATAACAGTCCTTGTATTAACTCGACCCTTTCCTCGCCAGTTCTTTCTACAGGATCGAAAATAACAGCAGTGTATAACACAAGCTCTACCTCCATATTAGTACAGTGGGACCCAGTCCCTGAAGACTCCATTAACGAAGTTCTTTTAAGCTACTCCGCTCGATTGTACCTTGTGGGGGATCCACCGAATACTCCGTCGCGAATGCTCCCGGCCAGCCCTAATGCTACCTCTCTGGAGATAGCAGGACTGAAGAAATTCACCAGATACGGTATCGTCGTGGCAGGGCGTACAAGAAAGGGAAGAGGCGCAATGAGGGGAGGTGTGGTTACAACAGGCGCAGACGGTAACTATAATACTCTTATCGTCGGGAGACGATATTTACATGCGCATGCACATTTCAAAGAATTAAATCATCATTTGTTCTCTCCAACAAACTGGCTATTAAAACTAGAAAAAATGTGGATTGGCTCTACTTTCGACCGTCATTACAATTTTCCCCTGGTTTGGCGCTCGCTCATGTGCTTTATCTTGGTTAAAAAAAATTAAGACAACTATGATAAAATAGTTAATCTAGAGAAACTTACCGTAAATTGAGTCACATGACTTCCCCAAGTTTGTCATCTTCTGCCAGGTTTAGCAACTATAAGTTACTGCCACAGGTATTTTTTAATTAAAAAAACTGTGATCATCGAGTTTTTCTACAAAGAGCACAAAAGATTGTCTTTTTACAGAATTCTAAATTCAATGAGTCAGTTCCTTTCTCAGCCAATAAGGAGCAATGTGTGGAGCATTTCTAATCACGCGGTAATAAACGTAGGTAATCCTTCTAGGGACGAACCATTATCTTTTTGAGGGGTGGGGGGTGGGGGTGGGGTGGGCAATTCTCTGGGGAATGTTTTTTTCTCGGCTTTAGGTTGTGCATGATTATTTTATGGTGGGCAACTGAACTTGTGCAAGAGTTTTTTTTATTTAGAGTCAAACACAGGCCCTAGATAGTATAAAGCACTTGCTTGATTCTTTTCCCCATGGCTCCCCTTACACGACTTGTTTTCAGCAGTGTTTGCTGTGCTGGAATTTTTATTTTGGGCATTGCCCACCCCCCGCCCCCTGCCCCAACAAGTAATAGTCCATCCCTCACAAAACACACTTATGCATTTAAAAACTAAAGTAATATAAAATACAGTAATACCACAGACACGACTTTTTACACGTTAATATTTACTTTGCGGTTTTTCAGCTCCAAGCCGCCCTCCAGAAAACGTTACCGCCGTCGCGAATGGAACAGCAGTTATTCAAGTCAACTGGGTCCCAGTTGACCCAAAATTCCTTCATGGCACACTGCGCGGCTACAGAGTTCGTTTCAAGGAACATGCGCAGTTAAACGTTGCTGATTGGATAGTGAAAACCGTTAACAGCACGACACAGCGGTTTGAGCTTACTGGTTTGCAGGCTCAAATGGAATACGAAGCGCAGGTGTTAGCGTTTACCATTAAAGATGGAAATTACAGTGAAAGTGTTGTAGTGATGACGGAAAGGGGTGGTAAGTAAAGAATACATCAGCGGTTTGTGAGTTGAGCTTCATATATCTTTTACATTCAGAGTATTTTTTTTTAGATTCACAGTGTCTCACAGTGACTTTCTCCTTGCCACCCTAGAGAACAGAATGTTTTCACATGAAGTCACGGCGGCCTTGTTGGTGTTCTCGAGCCAAGGAGTTTTTTTATTTTCTCATGTAAAAATATCTTATTACTTTGGAACAAGCACTAAGGCTTCCGTAAAAAAAAAACGTTCTATAAACGAGTATAAGGCAAAAGTAGTTCTTAGACTAATGGTGTATGACAACACTACATCAATTCTAATTTTAAATCACCTTCATGCATTTGGGTCTTCATGGTTTCTAGTATAAGAAATGTTGACTAGTTTAGCGAAATATTTGGGAAAAAAAACACCAAGGGCCTAAAGACGAGTATTCAAACCGCCCAAAACGTCGCCAATATATTGCAAATATATCAAAACATTTCCATAAAGGAACGAACGTAAGTTTAGAAGAAATCTCCTATTTAGGTAATTAGGCTGAAGACTGACTATATAGTTGTCTTTTTTCTCAGCTCTGTCATATCCACAAAATGTAACCGCTCATTCCACTAGTGCTACGACTGTTGTAGTAAACTGGGCCCTAGTATTTGCTCAAGGCATAAATGCGAGCCTGCGTTATCTTGCTCAGTGGGTCGAGGTTGCAAATGGAGAGAAAAACGTCACAGTAAGCTCCAGTCCACACGCGACCACAGGGCTGAAGATGTCATCTGAATACAGGATATGTGTGGCTACTGTGGACCATAGAGTCATCACAGAATGTAGCGATGAAGTTCTCGTAAGAACGCAAGGTAATTATTACGGAATAAGACACGAAAACTTCACTGCTAAGGGACCTTTTCAGCGATACGGCGGCCATTTTGAATTCTATTATGGGATGCTCAGGGCACAAATCAGTATGTATTTATTATATATAATGAACGTTATTTAGATACAAGATCAGAGTCAGTTTGTTTCATTGTTGTTTATCTCTTTTTGATACAGACCAAGGTCTGAACTTCACTGGTAACAGCTTCAGTGCTCGAGCCATAAGCGTTTACTGGAACCTAATATCACCAGAAGTTCAGGGGTATAGCGTGAGGTACTGGGCCGAGAAGGAGGGCGATGGGACTGCAGTTGAGAAGAACGTCTCCGGGGCAACAAACAGTCTGTTGATTGACAGTTTAAAGCCTTTTACAGTTTACGGTGTGCCAGTGACAGCTTTTGGGACACACCAAGGAATCACAGGCCGAGCAAATATTTCCACGAATGAAGGAGGTATGCTTTGTGACCAACTCGCATTCTGTAAGAAAGAGGTCTTAATGTGTTCTTAATTTCTGCACTTGACTAAAATTTGTGCTTTTCTCTGCAGTTCCCAGCGCAGCTCCAAGAATGATTACAGCGCATATCTATTTCATCTATTTCAACATCTATTTCAGTACAGTGGAGTCCAATACCTGACAACCTCACCAACGGAGTCTTGTTGGGCTACCAAGTTGACTGCTTCCTGCTTGGAAGTGTACGAGCAGAACAAACTCTTACAACAAGTAACAATTTTGTTGAATTTCAAAGACTGACGAAGTTTAGTAGATATCTCATTACAGTAGCGGGGTATACAAAGAAAGGACTTGGTATCAACGATACAGTCGCGTGTAGAACCGACGAAGATGGTTAGCTGGTTTTCATTTGTTACCTATTGCGCATGCAACGAAAACAGCTACTTCTATAAACCGATTAGAAATTAAACGTATATTTCACAATATAACTATTCACAGTGGTCAACCTTCAGAGTGGAAAAATGTAATAAGCATGGGCGAGTTTTGGCTGCAGGCGGGAATTTCGTAGTTTATGTGAACAAAATTTACGAACTTAATATGCTTTCTCAATTTTCCCTGTAAGTCTTCTGCCGCGGTGACGCACAGATACATATAGACACTAGGAAACGTTGCACGTATGTAACGTCAAGTTTTGTCGCACTTTGTCAAATATTATATCTTTCAATTATGCGATCGTCACTTGGAACCGATTTTTTACTTTTTCGCTTGCCCAACAAAAATGTCTGTTTTAGGTGATCTGGGTAAAAATCTCCTGGATTCAACCAGTTTTAGGAACAAACAGCTAACTTACAACTCACTGACGGTTTCACTTTGACAAAGGACTAACGCTCGAAATTCAGCATCTTCACTGCACCAACTTTGTTCCCAGGTTCTCTCAGCTTCCCGCCCTATCGGAATGGCAAGAAGCTGAGAGACCGTGGAAACGAGGCTGTTACTGCGCCTGCATTCAAATCATTGATTATCTTTTATCCTCAGTTCCCAGCTCTCCGTCGACAAACGTAAGCGTTCGAGCAATAAACTAATCAGACTTCGTTGTATCCTGGTCACGTGTCCCTGCTAATCAAGTGGATGGTGTAGTGATGGGTTATCACGTACGATTGGTCGACGAAGATGGCGAAGAAAGCGTGTTCACCAGCTGTGATGATAACATAACGCTGTCTAATCTCACGTTGTATCATACTTACTGCGTGACTGTAGCCGCGTTTGGAAGGAAAGGAAGTGAACCCGAGTCAAAAAAGAAGTGTGCTATGATGGATAACGGAGGTATAAATATCGTACCCAGATCTCCCACGGCCAAGCACCAGACAGAGCGAGATCTGGGTAGCAGATTGAAGAATCACTACAATAAAATTTACTATTAAATTAAACAGTTCTATGTACACAAAAAGTATGCAGGAAATGACAATTCAGAACACAAACATTTTCTCAGTAACATCTTTTGTTTTCTGTTAACTGACAAGTATCAATACAAACCTCTCCACAACGACCACCTTGGGGACGGGGGAAAGTGGCCGTTGGGGAGGTAGGGGTGTACTATGACACCAGATTTTTTGGGGGGGAGGGGGGGGAAGGCAGTTTTGTATACACCCGTAACCCGTTCGTCAGTCGTTGATTTACTGGCCGATGTCGAGAGGTTACTATGGCAGCTGAGACGAGTTTTAGTGGCCGTTGCCATTGTGGAAAGGTGGCCGTTGTAGACAGATTAAAATAAGAGTTAATGTATGGACTGTCCGCAGTGGCCGTTAGTGGAGGTTCGACTTTATTCTTTTTCTTTTCATCGTCAGCTCCCTGTCAGCCTCCGCAGCAACTAACTGTCCGTGACGTCACAACCACCAATGCATCTCTTGACTGAGTTTATGACGAACTGTGCGTGACAGTTGGTTTCGTTACTGGTTA